GCAGTGGCTGTGGTCGTTTTCACGCCCCGTAACATCGACGGATTCACGTATTCAGGGGTGGACATAACCCCCAACAGTGACACGTCGATTAGTGAATTGTCCGTTTTCGGTTCTCGAGAGGGCGCCGCGGCCGTTATTTTCCAGGCTTGCGCCCGCCAGGTTTGGGCCCGAGGTCGTTTTCACTAAACCACGTTTTACTAAAGGGAGGTCTGTCCATCCCCGACGTATCCGGGTGCCGCGGCCCTCTCCGATCACCCGTGCCAAGCGGCGCGCTTCGGCGCGACGGGGGCCTCTGCGCTCGCGGCCGCCCCCCCCGCCTCTCCCGACCTTTCCCCGCGCCGCGGGCCGACCACGGTGGAGAGGGTCCCCGGCGATGCTTTTAAAACGACGCGAAAGATCGGGACAAAATCGGATCGGGATAACTCGAAATCTCTGAGGATCGGCAAGTTTGGAGGATGTATTGGGCGCCGCGGCCGCTCCAGAGCGTTCAGGAACGCTCTGAGAGCGCTCCGGAACGCTCTGGAGCGATGTATCCCGATCCCAGCACTGTTTGAATGTTCGGCCTCGGGGGGTCCTTGTGGGGCCCCCCTGGGGCTGCTCAGCAAACAGGCTTTCGGGATGAGCAGCGGCCGTTTTCTTATCTATGGGTTTTTTGCCGATCGGCGCGGGCCCTCGCACCCCCTCCCCCCCCCCCCAAGGGGCAGATCTTGGCTGTTTTGGTGCCTGCTTCAAGCAGGTGGGGCCTCCCCCATGGGACGCACTGTTGCAAACAGACGCACCAAGCAGAGGTCCGGAGCCAGACCCCCCTCCCTCCCTCCCCCCCACGTGTGCCCAATGTCGAGCCGCCGAATAAGAGAACGTTCACCGGCCGAGGGTAAGGGTCGAGACCTCCAGGGGTCCACGTGGTGAAGAAACCACGACGCCCGAGGTCTGGGCCCCCGCACTCCTCCGCGCCCTCCCCGCCCCCTCTCCTCCCCCTCCCCTTGCCACTCTTCATCGTCGCTCTGCTGCTGCTGTTGCTGCTGCTCCTGCTCCTTTCCCTTTCCGCCCTGCTATGATGCGTATGAAGTGTGCGAGCCCAATGTGTGCTTACCCCGCTCAGATCCACCGACGGCATGCAGACTGGGTCGGCTCTCGCTGTGCCGCCTGCGCCGTACTGAAGAACTTCGGCGGGCAAGGACACGCTGGCGCCATCGCGCTCTGAGGATCGATTCTCCCTTCCTCCCTCCCTCCTCCTCCGCACTGCTGCGTCGGTGCATCGGCCGGAGTGACTGGTGCGCCCCGAGGACGGTGCCGGTGTGCGAAGACTGCTTCCTCCGCTTCACGAGCCTGCGGCTCCACCGGGGCAAGCGTTGCCTGCACTTTCCAGTTCGTGCTGGTCTCACACTGTTGTCGCGTTCCTGACGGCATGCGCCAGAGCTTGCTCTTCTGCTCGAGCGTTGCAGCCTCAAGTGGCTGACAGGTGGAGGGCGCTGGGTCTGCCACTGTCAGGCCGTGCGAGTCCGTGCCGGACCGGGAGGGGCAAACACCCTCTAGAAGCAACCGTGACCCATCTGATGATGATGATGACGATGATGATGACGATGATGATGATGATGATGATGATGATGATGATGATGATGATGATGATGATGCTGATGCTGATGCTGACGATGATGATGCTGATGCTGATGCTGATGCTGATGATGGTGGTTGTGATGATGATGATGGTGATGATGATGATACTGCTGAGGTTATTGATGATAACGATTAATGCGATGGTCGTGATGATGGCGTTGACGATGGCTATGCGACGAGTACGATGACGACGATTATGATGATGATGCCGCTTGCGATGACGATGATACAGATCATGATTGCTGCTGCTGCTGGTGCTGCTGATGATGATGATGATGGCGGTGCTGATAATGATGACGCTGCTGCTTCTGATGATGACGAGGACGATGATGATGATGATGATGATGATGATGATGATGTTGATGATGATGATGATGATGATGATGTTGATGATGACGATGACGATGTTGATGCTGCTGCTGATGATGACGATGATGGCTGCTGCTGTTGCTTCTGCTGCTGCTTATGCTGGTGATGATGATGCTGCTGCTGATGATGATACTGATGATGACGGTGATGATGAATATGATGTTGATTCTGATGCTGCTGATGATGATGATGATGATGATGATGATGATGATGAGGATGATGATGATGATGATGATGATGATGAGGATGATGATGCTGATGATGATGATGATGATGATCGTGCTGTTGATGACGATGATGATGACGACGATGACGGTGCTGATGATGTTGATGATACTTATGATGATGATCATGATCATGATCATGCCGATGATGCTGATGATGATGATGCTGCTGCTGATGATGATGATGATGATGATGATGATGATGATGATGATGCTGAGGATGATTATGGTGACGACTATGATTATGTTTGGTGATGGTGGGCGAGGCAGGGGCCAGCGATGTGTCATTAGCCTGGAGTGGGACAAATTCTGCCGAAGTGCATAATCATCATTGTAATGCACTGTCGTCGTCGTCGTCGTCGTCGTCGTCGTTGTTGCATGAGGAGGAGAAGGAGGGACGGAGGAAGCGAAGGTGGAGGAGCAGGAGGATGCGGGGGAAGATAATCAACGTGGAGGGGCGATGAGCAGGAGGAGGATGAGGAGGATAAGTATGGACAAGGAGGATGAGGATGAGGAGGAGGATGAGGAGGAGGAGGAGGAGGAGAAGGATGAGGGGGAGGAAGATGAGCATGAGGAGAAGGAGGAGGATGATGATGAGGAGGAGGAGGAGGAGGAAGAACAGGAGGAGGAGCAGGAGCAGGAGGAGGAGGATGATGAGGAGTCGGATAATGGAGAGGAGGAAGACCAGGAACGAAGCACTTATTAAGTTCATCTGGGTCTGTTGGTTCACTCTGAGAACGGGGGTGATTCGTTCGATTTCCACGCTCACATCTGCATGCGTCGCCTCGAGACATCAGGTTTTGGAGATACGAGAGCCTCTTTCGAATAAGCTCAAGAATCCAGGAAGGGTGCAGCATAATTGTTTCCAGTGATTATCATCTGGAGGTCTTAGGAGCTCTCCAGCTGCCTCCAGATGCTTCGGAGACCAAGAGAGGGACCGACAACTGAGAATCAAAGACACCATGGTGACAAAAGACTCTTGCCAGGATAATTCAAGAGTGGGGAGAGTATGATTCAAACTTGTGCGCACAGGGCGAGCACAAGGGGAGATCATACGGGAGACCAGACGGGGAAGCACATGGGAAATCATATGGGATAACAAACGGGAGGCAATGTGGGAGACCACACGGGAGACACCATGCGGGATACAGTATGCCAGACCACACGGGAGGCCATGCGGGATATCACACGGGACACCATACGGTAGACTGTACGGGAGACCGAACGGTATACCATCGGGGAGACCACCCGGGAGACCAGGTGGTAGACCGTATGGGAGACCATACGAAAGGCCACATGGGAGAACATGCAGTCGGGGCTCTGAAGAAGGAGCCCTTTTCGTTGGGGAGGGGCTCCGCGTTCCTTAAGTGTTTCACAGCTTGCCTCGGGTTTTCCTTATGTTTTCGATAGGGAATCGAAATTTAAGTGGTGGAAAAAGGGGCCTCGTGCCTTATTTAGGGTTCCTTAGGTCAACGCCCCGACTGTACGGGAGTCCACAGGGAAGACCGTGCGGGAGACCCTGCGGGAGAAGACTGGTTCACCAATTCCAGATCTGGAAGGCTTCATATCCGGCCTGAGAAGACATGTGTCAGTCCCTGGCAGGCAGGCTGTTTAAGTCTAGGCCTCCCAGATGGGTCGGAGTAGATGGGGTCGGAGGATCGCACCGCATCGCCGATGCATCGCCGACGCGGCTCGATGTGGAGCCCGATTTGCTTCACCCGGCGCCGATGCATCGCCGACGTCGCCGATGCACCGACGATGCGGCGCGATCCTCCGACCCCATCTACTCGGACCCCATATAGGAGGCCTCTCTATGAAGGGACTCTCTGTCTTCGATCGTCCTTTCCTCTCGCGAGCGGAGAGAGCGAGCCACGTCAGTACAGAGTCCTAGTTGCCGTCCGAGGCGTGCCCGCTGTGCCTCCAAGTGCCTTCTCTTGTCCTTGCACTCTGTGCCTCCGAGTTCGTGGGTTGAGGCAGCTTGGTGAGGTGTCATTGGCTACGAGGCTCGGACATCCTTTTCTTCGATGCTCGTTTCGGGGACCTTCCTGGAGCCCACCTAACGGATCTGTTCGACCCCAGTTCGACTCAAGTTCGACTCAAGTTCAACTCAAGTTCGACTCAAGTTCGACTCAGGTTCGGCTCAGGTTCGACTCAGGGTCGACCCAAATCGACTGACGTTCGACGCAGCTTCGACGCACGAGTGGAGCGAGTGGCTCCAGGAAGGTCCCCAGAACGAGCACCCAACTTTCCAGATGTGAAGCTGTGGTAGCAGATGTCCGGGCGGGCCAACGCCTCATGATAGGTTTAAAAGGTCGAGATGTTGGACATTTGTTTCGCATCTCCTTCTCGTACTCCTTCAGAGCACGCTATCCTTCTCTTTCTGCCTCTTCTACTTGCCTCCCACGTTCCAACGTTCCACGTCCTCTTCGCATTCCTTTTCTTCAACATCTTGCCACCCAGACCTCACGCATTTACATTATGACGCATTCGTGTTCGAAATGGTGCATCACTTGCGTAACGTCTTGCTTTGCATCCATTATTGTACAGAGTACCATCTTCTCAGACTCCGATCCGCGTCTATAGCGCCGAGAGCAAGACTAATGTCAGC